TCTATGTATACAGAATTGGGAGTCAGACCCAGGGCCAAACACTAGAGGAGCAGTTACAACTGTTCCATATCTCCGGACACATCACTTTAAACGTATGCTTTTTTTTTTTTTTTTTTTTTTTTTTGATCCACTTATGCTACCAAGATTATACCACCTAGGGATGCTTGCTTTACCGAGGGCCAGCGAGAGGGCGCTTATGGCCAAGTTCAATCCCTGGGACCCACATGGTAGAAGAAGAGAAGTGACCGCCCTGAGCCGTGCTCTGAGCTCCGCCCGCACCACAGAGCCCAGGAGCCCCCACTGATATAAAATAAATGTAAAAAGAACTAGTGCCCACTGCAGTTTGGTCCATAAAAGTAAAACCGGAAGCATTAACATCCATCAACAGAGAGCCAGTACTGGTAGAACGTAGCCCTATCACACACACACACACACACCTTACTCAAGAATCTGGACCTGACTCTAAGATTTTGTATTGGGTCAAAAAAAGCATGACGGGTAGGAACTGGTGAGGTGGCTCACAGGGCCAGAGCACGAGATGCTCTTCCGGAGGACCCGGGTCAGCCCTCAGCACCCACATGGTGGCTCACGACTGCCTGGAACTCCAGCTTATGGAGATCCGGTACCCTCTTCTGGCCTCCACAGGCACCAGGCACGCACGGGGTGTGCAGCCATACATACAAACACTTACAACAAGGTGATAAGAGTCTAAAAACATAATGGGTACAGAATGCTCCTGTGTCCGCTAAAACACATAATACATACGTTCCATAGGAATGCCCAATATTCTCCCCCTGAGCCCTTCAAAGAGACTGGCAGGAGACCGGCAGGAGACTGGCAGGCTCTCACACCTTCACTTCTGACAGACAAGAAGGTAACTTGCCTCATACAATAGTATATAACTATTTATGTGGTTTAGTACAATGGTATTTGAATGTAACTGTATATATGAGAAACTGCCCAGAACACACTAAGAAGGCTTTTAGCTTAGGGAGCATTGTTTTTTGTTGTTTTTTTTTCTTTATTTTATTTTATGTTCATGCATGTTTGCCAGCATGTATGTCTGTGCACACCAGGCGGTGCCCTCAGAGGTCAGAAAGAAAAGGGCGTCAGGTCCCTTGGAACTGGAGTTACAGATGGCTGTGAGCACCAGGTGGGTGCTGGGAATGGAACCTGCATCCTCCCCAAAGAGCAGCCAGTGCTCTTAACCACTGAGTCATCTCCCCAGCCCATAAAACATGTTCTTGATGAAAGAGATCCAGAGGGACCCACGGGTTAACATACAAAGGGGCTGCCTGAATTTTGCTGTGGGTGGAACTGTGCCATCCTGCCAGTTTGCTTTTCCTGGAATGATCAGTGATGGGTTTTGTACCAAAGCTGAAATAGTAGCAATGTCTCAGGAAATGACAGTTTCCATAGAAAAAGTAAGGGTTTAGGGACAAGCATGGGGGCGGCAGACAGGTGAAGGCAGAGCCCGCTTGGCTAGAGACTGGAAGAAGGACAGCAGACCTGCCTGCCTGTGCTTCCAGATAAAGAAAACCCCAAATCAGGAGCCTTGAACTGGTCCCCTTCCCCAACGAGCATATGGTTTGAACAGTAGCAGCTGGAAGCTGATTTCTAGCGTTTACAGCCTGGACCCAGCTCTGAGGGCCCGTCGGTGCAGCAGAGGGGTCAAGGGGGAGGGGGTCCAGGGCACACTCCTTCCCCTGTCACCGCCATCATCCTGAAAACAGTACCATCCCCATCACAGAGAGGCTCAACCCATGCTTTGGCTGGCCTCCCTTCTGGATCTGATCCAAAGGCTCTCCTTGCAATATTGGCCTGAAAATGCTTCGTAATGCAAGGCAGATTCCCAGAAGGCATGTGACCACAGGCCCGACACCGCTCCTTGCCCGTGACCCCAGTACACATCCAAACTCATGCTGGAACAAACTAAACTGACAGCTGTGTCTCAAGAAGCAGTGGTGTCCAAGAGTGCCAGGCCTGAGGCCAGGCGTACAAGATCAACGAGGTGAAGCAGGCCCACGGCAGTCAAAGAGGACAGACGCCAGACACCTTTCTGTCCTCCCTCTCTGAGCATGGCGGTCTTCCTTCACTTCCTGTCTCCTGTCTCCTCGTTGCAGTTTTAACTTCTGCATCATCACCCTGGACCCCTGCTGTACAAAGCTGAGGCTGCACAGAAAGCCGCCTGTGAGACGGCCCCAGGCCTGCACCACGGAGAGGAGAGTCCATGCCTGTCAAGTACACTGAGGCAGAGACCGTAGGAATGGCCACCATGCGGTGGGGGACAGTCTCCGTGTGGCTGGGTACAGTGTGCCACCAAGAAGAGAACAGGACACCCACCCTGTGCTTCCCCGACGCCAGTATCGCTAACTCTGTCCTGGCACCAGCTGTCTCTCCATCTGTCTACGCTGTCTGATGCCGGGATGACACAAGCTACCAAGCACACCATTTCAGTGGAGGAGGCCCACTCTAACCACCTGCACACCTCACTACGGCTTGTGGAGTCACCCCTTTGTGCAAGCTGGACGCTGCAGCGGGCACAGGCCACAAAGGCTGGCACTGGGTTTGCATTCCGTCCCTGCCCTTGCTCGCTGCATGTCCTCAGATCATCTTTCCTCTCGGGACCTGGCTTCTTCAGCTGCTGTATACGTTCAAGGAAGATGTTCATGAAGGGCTTATCATGGAGGGTAACCAAAGGAAAACCCCAATAAATCCAAAAAATACTAGTAACGGAAATTCACTAGGCTGCCTACAGACACATGTTCGGAAGCTGCTGCCAGAAGACGATCCCTTTGACAGCTTCAGGACCAAGGAGGACCAGCAGGATGCATCATCTCCACCCTCCCACAAATCTGGCTTACTGTCAGACGGCGGGGGCGGGGAGGCACAAAGAAAACATGGTGCTAGCACACATGTATATGCTAGACAGGTTAGCAGAGAGGCTGGTGGAGGAGACGGGGAAGAGGGCAACAGAAGTCCATCCAAGCACTTGAGTGTCGAACCCCCACCACACTGACAAATGCTTACTGTGGGGCCACACACGAAGGTGTTCACCCTGACCCAGCTCCTTCTAAGTCAAATCTGTGCAGCATCGTGAGGAAAGGGGGTCGCTAGGAGAGAAAGGGTGGAGAGAGTACAGCACCAGTGGACAGATGATAGGCAGGGGAGTTCAGGCAAACAGGACTGGGAGTGGGGCTCCTAGGGAAGTCCTTCACAACGGTCAGGCTCAAGGACATCTTCACCACTGGTCACGTGTGGACAGTCTGCGAGCAATGGTGTGCCTGTGCATGGAGTTCGACAGCCTGTGACCTTCGACATTGGTCATTCGTATGTCCACACGGAGGAACAACGCTCTATGCCAAGAGGTTGATTAGAGAAAGGGAACAGAGCACCTGCTGGTCATCTCACGGACGCAGGAGCTAATGCAGCCCGGGGCTGTATTATCCAGAGCTAATACAGCAGGCCCTCAGCTCATTTCCTAGGTCGTGGCTAGTCAGGAAGCAGAAGAGAGGAGCAGGCATGACATGAGATCAAGCGTTCCACAGACCCATTTCCCGGATAACTTGTGATCTTTCCGTCTGCGGCAGGGCATGCTGAGGGAGAGTGTCCTGCTGAACAAGGAGGACTGAAGAGCTACTTTCGTTTCTCCCCCTCCCAAGACTCCATTCAAATACCAGGATGCCGAGCTCTTCAAGAGAGAGTGTCGCCCAAACAACATGCTGCCAGACTGAGGCTCACGCAGCTGTGCCTGGTGTAGCTGCGCACGCGTGCACATTAAAGAAAACGACAGTTGCCCGCTGCCTTTCTGATGTGCGTGAGTGAACGTTTTTTCTGATTAAGACAACTGATTGTGATGCTCTGATTGGTTCAACTGTGAGGATGATAGACAAAGGATGAAGAGTGGCATAAGACAGTGCATGAGGGAAGTCTGTGAAGGCCCAGTCTCACTCTCCTGGAAGAGTTAACACATGATATCTAAAACAAACAAACAAACAAAAAAAAAAACTGACAAGTAAAACTAACTGAGATAAATGGAGGAGGTCAGAAGGTGAAACTGCTTTTTGTTTACATTTTATGTTTATTTCTAAGTGTGTGTGTGTGTGTGTGTGTGTGTGTGTGTGTAGGTGTGTGTAGAGGCCAGAAGAGGGCATCAGCTCCCATGACCTGGAGTTACAAGTGATCGTGAGGCACCAACCTGGGGGCTGGGAAGCTAGCTCAGGTCCTCCACAGAAGCAGTATGTGCTCTCAACTGAGGGGCCGTCTCTCCAGGCCCGAGGCACTGGCTCTAAAGGGAACCTGACTCTGCCTCCTCACTATCGCTTGGGGATTGGTTGGCATATTTGCTTGCTTTGGTTTGGGTTTTGACGTGGGGTTTTCTTGTGTAGCCCAGACTGGCCTTAAATTTGTCGTGTCCTCCTGCCTCTGCAGGGCTGGATCACAGCTGTGTGCCACGGCGTCCATCTTGCACTTTAATTCCTTTCAGATCTAAAAATCAGTGAGTCTAGAAAGCAAGACGGTGTGTAAGAGGGCACTTGTTAACCACTAGGCGCCTGGGACGTATTTAACTTCCAACCTCATCTACACAGAGGAGTTTCGCCAAAGAAAAACTAACTTAGACAAAGAAGGTCTGTCTCAGCACTACGCTTAGATTACATTACACGCGCGCACACGTAGACGTACACGTTCACACACACACATGCTTGCACGTGTGCAAATTCACACAGTCACACTCACACTCTCACATACTCGCTCACGGGCACACTGACACACACTCCTCCCCGCTCTTCTCAGAGCTTTCTCTGCCAGCTATACCATCCACGCACAAATTGACCGTATTCCACGCGTCAAACGGAGCTAAGCCTGTCCGGCGTTAGGTGTCTGTGTTTCGTCTCCCTAGCCACTCCTCATCCCACTTCTCAGAACCTCTGGGTGTCCCAGCAGTCCGGGTGGCTAAATCCACAGGCTCAGAGGCCGGCCGGCCAGCCACCCTGCCTTACCTGCATAGGCGTTAGCCTGCTGCAGGAGGTCCGTGCAGGTATGCACATCTGCGAACGCGCGGATGCCCAGGCAATTGGTGGGATGCAGCTGAGACTGCAGAAAGTCACAGCAGTTCTGCCGAACGTCCATGAGCTGCAGCAAGCTGGCTGCTGGAAGCAGGACCTGCAAGGGAAGGTGACGCGCTGAGATGAGACGCCTGGTCGCTGGTCCCCGAAGTCGCCGTCCCGTCAAGTTTCTATTATCTTATATGCAAGATAGTTTTTCTCGAGGCTCTCTATAGCCTTCTCACTGAGTCCGAACTTCCCAGCCTGCTTTGCCCATAGAGCCCGGCCCACGAGTAGAGTCTCAGCACAGTTCCAACCCACAAAACTTCCCAGGGTGGGCCCATCCTGGGAAGGGTTCCCATCCCAGGACCTTAGAAAAATGCACGTTTGGTTTCCGCAGGCCTGAAAGCACACCAACTTCTAAGCACTCAAGTGACACTGTGCCTGCTGGACCAGTGGCTACACCCAGCGAGACAAAACGTGTGCAGGGCGTGTATAGTGTGTGTGCAGCACGCACAGAGGCGCTCTATACTTGGCTGCACACTGGTGTCTCCCAGAGAATTGTCAAGCCTGATACCTGGGCAATCCTGTGTAAAGGTGCTGACAGGTACAGGCTATTGTGTTCAGGGTTTTCTCAGATTAAACCCTTCCGTCTTAGAGGAAAGCTTGTTAAGACACAGGTCTACAGAAGAGGTGAAACATTCCACCCTTCAGGGAAGCTCTTAGGCTAAGGAAATAAACAACTTAACAGTTTCAGGGACTCCTGAAACTGGCCCTATCCACTTGGCCCTCCCTCCCCAAGTTTGTACAAACTGTAAAGACTGGGGAGAGACACTCTCAGATCAGCTAACCTGCCTGGAGGAAGCAGAGAACAGCTGAGCTTCCGGAAGGGGGCTCAGACCATCTGTGCTACCTGCAAAGGACACCCTCCAAGTTATTGAGCTGCCTGTAAATTGTGTGGTGAGCTACCGCTTTCGAGAGCTGTCCCCCCGCCGGGGTGGGCTTTGGTGATGCAGCTCTCTGAGTCATTTCTGCTCCTGTGAATAACCCCAGTAAAACTTACTGGTTTTACCAAGTTAAACTTCTTTGGCATCCGTTGTTAGGTGTGCCATCGGTTCCCTATCTGGGGCAAATAAGTGTTTGTTTACATCTCCCCAGAAGTGCCACACAACAGGTGTGACCTGGGCAGAGCAGGATGGTTAAGGCTCCCTCACATGCCTCTCTAGCCGGCCAAGTCCGAGAACCACTACCCTGCACACTCCAGGGCGCTTCCTCACTCAGAAATGTGCTCCTTGGGTTACTCACTACCTCATTCTCTACCTAATGGCTGAGCGTCTGTGTGCCAGGCACTGGCCAAGGCCCTAAGATGTGGTAGTAAGCAAAATGAACCAGAGCCTACTTTTATGGCACTTGTCATCTGACCGAAGGACACTCGCCCCAGCACTGTGGACTCAGGCAGTCCTCCTCCCCAGCAGGTTAAACAGCAGAGGGAAGCCCTGCGTGAGTCCTCAGGGAGGAAAGCTGAGTTTTGTGTTTAAAAGTCACAGGACGCTTATTCTGCATCATGGAAAACAGAATAGTTCTCGCTTGGGTGTGTGGGCACATGTTTTTCCTAAGAACCGGGGGAAACTGGCTTGAGCAAGCCTGCTGGGCACTCGCTACCACCCCTGTCAGGCGTCCCGTAGCTGCCCAAGCCTGCCCTCTAGAACATAAAAACAAGACAACCCCGCTGGGCTCTGCTGCCCCCTCACTCTGCGGAAGAGGCAGGCAGCTGGGATAATTTACCAAAAAGAAACTTGGTGGAAAGCATGGCATTGGCTTATACGAGTCCTTACCTTGCAGACCCAGCACCAAGGCCTGGTAGCAATTCCCTGTCCTTCCTCCCAGCTGTCCCCTAGCTCTCAGGGCAGAGAGGCTGAGCCAGACCAACCCCAGCTGTTCCCATGCACCATGGCTTGCCCAGGAAGACACGGCTGCAGGCCCCTCTGCATTTGTTTTCTTTATTCTGGGCATTACGGGTATCTTTTTCTTTTTCTTTCTTTCTACTTTTAATAATTTTAATGCTAGATGTTGATCTCGTTCCAAAACACCCCTGGGCCCTCCATATAGACTACCATCATCTGTATGTGTGTAGGCCAAAACTATGCCCCGCTGAGAAATCCTGGGCCTTGCCCTTCCACAGGGGTAACCAACTGGCCAGGTCTGACAGGACTGAGGGACATCCCAGGACTTCCAGTGCTGTGGAAGGGCTGTGGTGGCGCCCTGTTCAGCAACTTTGCACAAACGCACCAACTTCTAACCCAACAACTCCACTGCCTATCAGACACCTGCCAGGTGTCTCCTGTCTACAGGGAGAGCCCTGCCCATCTACCAGCTTCTACTTCTCCCTAGAAAGGCTCCTCCGCTCCTCCCACCCTCCACCCTGCCTCCCTCTCGCTGGGTCCTTAGCCAGGCTGAGGTAAATTAGCACAATGACCTTGACGTCTTCTGGCCCACTGATTCATTCCTGAAGAAGAGAAAGATAAGAATCACCTTCGCCTCAAAGTCTTAAAACCCAGGTGAACCCAGCTAGAGCACAAACCTAACCGCCTAAGCTCCAGCCCCACCAGGCAGCCATAAACTTGAAAACTCAATTAACCTGTGGGCCACCCAGCCTGGCCACACAGATCTCAAGGCCAGATTAGGTCCTGCCTGCCCATGAGGTGAAGGACCATTAGCCATTCTTGCTGAGTACTTGCTAGGAACGGAAGGCTCTCCACCATGTGACCCCCAGAACCTCTGGCCAGCCACCCGGCATTGTCTGACCCCATTAGTTTTAGGACAATTTCTGGGTAGTCCCTCAGATCTGGGCACCCTGGAATGCTTCTTCATGCTAGGACGGGGCTTATCTTTGGCCACTAACTCTCAAGATGGCTGAGATTCCCCGTTCATCTCCAGACTGCACTCCCTGCCAAGCCGGAGCAAGACCATGCCAGAAACACCGACTGCCTCCCTTCTCCTCCTCCTCTCCAGGACCACAGTTCAGCGCTTAAGTTTTCAAACTCATGACAAGCGCCTGAGAAACACAATAATAAACTATTTCCTGAGCACATGCCTTCGGTTACACTCTAACCAGGCACCTCTGTGGGCAAACCACCCACATAGCTTTCAACTTCCCTGCTGTTCACAAATGAACCTTTCTCTTCCCACCCCATTCCTTGCTCAGCCCCTCCCACCTGACAGCGTCCCTGAACCGGCTTCCCACAATGAGGCCAGCTCATGGTCTAATGGCTCCTACAGTCTTTGATCTCACACCCAGAGGCCCTTCTCTTCCCTCCCTTGCTTCACCCAGGACAGGAAGAAGAGTGGAGAAGGTCAGAATATTGAAGGAGAGGATCAGGAGACCAAGAGATAAGCCCCCTCTCATGTATTGCTGCACAATGATAAACCCAAGCCCCCAGGGGAAAGCACATATGAGGTAGCGGGCCAGTCCCTTCTTCCACATCTACAGGGCTTGAGGGCATTTCCTGTTCTCTACTTCCTGAGCCCACTCCATTCTCAGCTTTGAAGTGGACTGTGGGGGTTGAGTTCTAGGATGCAGCACTTGGCCACTGAGGGAACAGAAGGCTGGGTCCTGGGAAAGAGAAGTTAACAGGACGATTACCCAGGTCAAAAAGCATCGAGCTTGTCAGCACCTCATTCCTAACAGGCCCTGGAACGGCCCACAGCAAAGGGCTCCCAGTTCCCCCTCGGCTTGCAAATGGCCAACCCTCCATTTTTCACGTGCTGGGCCCGTCTTGTTTTTTTCTCTCCCTCCGATAACATGAAAACACAGCAGAGGATATCCCGTCACAGGCTTTGCTTCCTTTTGCAAAAACAAGAGGAAATGCCCTGCCTCAGAAAGCACCTAGTCCTGGAGCTCCTTCCCTCCCTGTGCCTGGGAGGGGGCAGGGCCAGGCACAGTCCAGGGCACTGAGTGCCAGGTGAAGGGCATGCAGAGCCCTCCCAGCCGCACTCAGCGCAGGCTGGCTGAGCAGCAGTGACAGATAGAGCCTGCTTAGGGGAGGGCGGGTCAGGAGAGTGCAAACAGGGTCCCGGTGCTGGGACAGCATGGCGATCAAACTGTCACGTTCAATTCTGGTGTCTCCACTTACTGGCCATGTGGCTGAGGACAACGACCTCAGCTCTGTGGGCCTCGGTCTCAACAGCACAGTGGTCATGGCCACAGCAGTCCCATTACGGCCGGTGAGAATCAACCGGGTGACACGCTTACAGCAGCGATCGTGGCACTGCACAGAGAGTGCGTGGCCACCATCAGTTCTGATTACAGTCAACCACTAGGAACGGAAGCCAAGGCTCAGATCATTCACTCAACAGGAAATGAGTTCAGCGCAGCCACACAGGTTAGACAGAGGGAGGCGGGTTCAAGTCCCCGCTTCATTTGCTCCATGTAAGCCAGGTTACGTTTAAGCATCGGCTGCCACCGGGGATTGTGTTAGTCTCTCTACCAAGTGGTAACGAGGGTGCTGTGGCGAGATGGGCACAGTCTGGGCTCTAATCCCATGCGTAAGACGACCTGTTGCCACCTCCGTCATGGAAGAGACAAGGGACGTGGGACTGGGAAGGGGGTAAGATTTAACTCTCAGGACCATCCAACCAAGCCTCAACCTATATGACAGCAGGCCCCTCGGGAGACTCACAGCCTAGAGGCGATGGGCACAAAGACAGAAGAGGTAAGCCAGCCCACCCCCTCTTCCTCCGAAGTTTGGCCCAGACATTCTGTGAGTGTGGTCTGTCCTGCTTATCCCCATCAGGCAGCTGTGACTACTTCCTCCTGGATTCCTCCACCCAGGCCCACCATCTGTGCCTGCCTACAGAGCAGCTGTTCCTTGGGGAAGCAGCCTGTCACGGCAACTTCTTTGTGGGCACTGTCTGCCAGCACAGGGTAGTAGCTCAAAAAAAGGGGGAGGGGCTGAATGACTGACCCAATGAAGGGATGAGTTTCTATATAGCCCAGCACAAGGGAGGAGACAGCTCTGGGCTGTCTGTGCCTTCTAGATCATGCGCTTTCACATCTGGTTACTTAGCAGACAGCACAAAGGTCCCTCTCCTCAGAATAGCTGGTGCCTCATCCAGGCCTCTGTCCAGGCCAAGCATTCTGGGCATAGCCCAGGAGGTATCAGAAATTCCCAGCTCCTTCCCTTTACCATGCTCCTACTCCCCACCTGGATACCTATCCTCAGTCCCCATCAGCATCCAGTGCCTTCTGGGTATCTGTGATGACATCACTGCGTGCCAGGCCCCGCTCTAAGGCCATGTCAACACATCCATCCCTCACCCCAAGCCGCAGATGAAATGAAAACACTGAGGCAAAGAAAGAAGCTTGCTTGGGCATCACGGCCAGATAACATGAAGCCAGGGTTTGAACACTGGGGGTTATGGACACCTATTGTATGGGTATTCTTAACCTCTGTTTTATGGAGAAGGCTGAACTTGGCAACAGGGTGTCAGGGGACACCCCAGTAGGTGCGAGGAAGCAAAGGGCATTCAACAGACTGATGGCTTCTCCACACAGATTGATGGCTTCTCCAGCTGTTGCCAGGTCCCATTCACGCAGGCCACAAGTGGGGAAGGGCTGACATCAGGGTGCTGTGAGCCAGTGGCCGTGCAGACGAGGGCCAGAGCTCTATCTCCACACATCCTCTAAACCTTCACTCTGCCTTTCCCTGTTCTTCCCCTCTCCCTCTTGGACACAGTAGCTTTTGAAAGTAATGACAAAGTCACTTTCTACAGAGCTCTCTGGCTGCGGTATCTGCTGTCGTCTGCCTTAGACTAATGCATTTCGTAAGCCAGAGAGATCAACTCTGATCTCTTTTTACTGATTGACCCCTATTACTCTTTATTTATCAATTAATACCTTAATTTCTTAATTAACACTTTAATAATAAACTATGCTGCTCTCCTCTTATCCCTGCCAGGGACTAAGGACTGGAACAGAGCCTTTTCTAAAATTATCCAAGTTACACATGGTGTTTAAAGTGTAGTTTGGGCAGGCGTGGTGTCCCAGGACTCAGGAGGCAGAGGCAGAGGCAGACAGATCTCTATGGGTCCCAGGCCAGCCTGGTCTACACATCGAGTTCCATATTTATACATACGGTGGATTAGCCCAGATCGCTACAGTAACTGACGCCAGGAGGCTCTTTCTCCCCGGCACAGTAGGTAGGCTCTGCAGGGGCAATTTGGTGCACCTCACTCTCTTTGCCTGCCTGTACCTGGCCCGCCATTATCACCCCTCAGCCCGGCACCCACTCATTCCTCAGCTTAACTCTAGAATGGGAACACTGGGCTGAACTGAAAGAACCAGCAACCATCACTCATCAAGCGAGCCTCTCAGGCAATGGGAACCTGCAGAGGACAGGGGTCCTCAAGCCTCTGGTTCCTCCTTCATAAGCTAAGTACACCACGAGCTAAAAACTCCTCTCTCCTGGGCTGGGCTCACGCAAAGGTATTATAGGACCTGATGGTGAAAAGCACAGCTACTTACGCACAGGCGTTTGGGGCCAGCTCCCTCAGCAGTTGGCCGTGTGACCTAGGTAAAGTAACTTAGTTCTCTACAGCTTGGTTTCCTCTTCAGTGACCCCTGAGGTGCTGTGAAGGTTCAATGGCGGTCCTGAGTGTGTGGCTCCCGGGCCACTGGCTGAGATTACCTGCACGTTCTCTTCCGTCACCTCGATCTCTGCAGTGTAGATGTAGTCAATCAGCTTCCTGACCGTCTGCCCATCCACGTCCTTGATTTCAATCTTCTTGGCTTTACTCTCAGACATGTCACCTGTAGTTCACAGTGGAACAGAAAGAACAGGATTGGGCACCTGTGGCCAGTCTGCTTCCTGGGTTGCCTGGGAAACGTGCAGTCCCCGCCCGTGCTCCTGAAAACCACCAGAGAGACGGGCACGGGGGTGTCAGGGGCGTCACAACCTTGGGTCTCCCATCGGTCATATGCCAGCTGCAGGCACTGTGTTCTGCCCGCTTCTCTAGACGAGGCTTCGGACCACACACTTACCGACAACTGCATCCAGAGCCAGGTGTGGCGAGCAAGCTCTTAACCGCCCTGAAGGAGGTCAGGTCTTGTGAGAGGAAGGGAAATAAGCCCAAACTACCATGACAGCATGGAACACTAGTCCTTGCTGATGGCTAACTATGGCCAAACACTGAGTGAAGCACTTTAAACTCCCGCCTCATCCAAACCTCAGAGAAATGTGTAGTGTTTGTAATATTAGTCTCACTTTACTGAGAGAGAGGGAGAAAGAGCGAGAGCAAGGCCGAGAAGGCAGCTCATTCACCTTGGGACCATACATCTCAAGGGCCAAGCCGGGTTGAAAGAGCGTCTTGAGTTTAGATGCCACAGCCTTAAACGCCATGAAACGCGGTCCCAGAAACACAGAGAAGGAACAACGGACCACACCTGGGAGCTACACAAGGGCTCCCCGGAAAGAGCACATTTATGCGGGTGAGGTGACAGGATGAGGAGAAGTCCCAAAGCTGGCAAGGAGGCACTTGCTGGACGTGGGCTGAGTGCAAAGGAGAAAAGATCGGAGAGACACTGCATCTGAGGGACCGAGACGGACTGCTGTGGCAGAACACAGGGCAAGGAAGGCGGCTGGAGACAGACACGTAGAGCCGTAGACATCACGCAAGAGAGCTTCATGCGAAGGGTGACGCCACTGGCAGGCTTTAAATGGGAGAGCTACAGGAACAGACGGAATTTTTCTTCTTGGGAATCTCATTTATTTCCCTCTTCTCCCCCCACCCCCGCAACGTCTCTCGTGCCCCCACGACTCCCTCTAAAAGTCATGACCTTTCCTTCCACGCACACATAAATACAACCTGCTGAGTCCAGTCAGTGCTGCTCGTGTGTCTGTGTGTTCAGGGCTGACTATGCAGGAGTGGATGACCTATGGGGGGCGGGGGGGCTCCTCTCTGGAAAACACTGATTCTCTTTCTCAGCAACCACTGACTGCTTGTACCTCTTCACCTAGGGGTGGTGCCTGTGTGTGCCCCATCCACAGTGGCGTGTCAACCAGTGCTGTCATTTGGGGGTCTTGCCTAGGTAACCATGTTGAGATTTCCCAGGTGCAGCTCCCTGTCACAGATAAAAGACATCGTTTCTCAGAAGACATGCCCTGGTCCTCCGGCCCTTGCCGTTTTCCCGCTTCCTCTTCTCCGATGTTCCCCGGGCCTTGGGTATAGGAGTTGTGTTGACTGGGGCACTCTACAGTCAGGTGTTCTCTGCCTTTTGGCCAGTTGTAGACTTCTCTGATGCTCTCCAGGGGGAGATTTCTCAATGAAACTCTGGATGCAGCGGTGGAGAGGGCTGAACTGGAGGCAGGAAGAACAGCCAGAAGTCCTTGCTAACAACCCAAGAAAGAGGACGTAGCCAGGACACACCGCATTCCCAGTCACAGACCCTGACGGTGCCAGCGCTGACCTAGAACCAAGCCTCTTCAGCAAGTTCAGGGAACCTCAGGCAACAGAGACGGCGGAGCACCGAAAGACGGGCAATCTGACTGCAAGAAGCAACACAGCCAGAAGCCCCGGCGGAGTATGCAAAGTCCCTGATGGGTTTTTCACTCTCAGATTCAAGCCAGAGCCAAAAAGATTCAATACAATGCAACATTGGGCTCCCGACACCCAAGAAAATGTTGTACGGTGTAACGCCTGAACCCTGCTGCCCACCCCACGCCCCACAGACACACCACCCTGCCGCAGCCCCAGATCCGAATGACTCTAGATCGGGGGGAAAGTGGGTGGCATTGGGTTTATCAAATCCTTGCCTGGGAAACTAGAAGTCACCATGCCCTGGGACAGGAGGCAATGGTGAGGAAGAAAGAGGGAAAGGTGGTGGACTCGTGCTGGCCCCTAAGATGATGAGGTTCTGATCCTCCAGGTTTTATGCAAAAAAGATCACATGCAATCAAAGAAATCAGAACTTTATGATTTTATCTCCAAATGGCTACTTAGAAGTTCGCTAATAACCAGGCGATGGTGACGCACCCCTTTGATCCCAGCACTTGGGAGGCAGAAGCAGGAGAGTCTGTGTGAGGTCAATCCAGGACAGCCAAGACTACGCAGAGAAACCTTGTCTCAGAAAAACCAGAAAGAAGAAGAGGGAGGAGGAGGAAGAGAAGGAGGAAGAGGAACAAGAGGAGGAAGAAGAGGAGGAGGAGTTGTTCGCTAGTGAGGGTCCCATTGCTAGTTGTAAGAACTTAGGCCTGAGAAATAGGATTTTTGAAAGAAGAGCCTGCAGTAAGAATGCAGAGGCACGCAGTCAGGCCTGGGCTGACCCGCCTTCCCTCTGTGGAATCTGTGTGTGGGAGTCAAGTCAAGGTTTAGAACTTTAGATAAATAAGTAGAAACTATTGAAATTGTGTGAAAAATCCGATCGAGAGCGCGCAAGCGCGCACTTGTGTGTGTGTGTGTGTGTGTGTGTGTGTGTGTGTGTGTGTGTGTTTTCAGAGGTAAGAGGAATTCCATTTCTGGGAGAATAACAGATTTATCAAATTCTTTCACACTTCTCTGGCCTGCAAAAGGTAAGCAGGCTTTTCTAGCCCCAGCTTCTTAGACTGGGCATCATCATCCCGTATGGTGCTCAACATTAAGCACACGGTGAATCCACCTGTCTCTGGCAGTGCTCACCAGTGTGTAGTCACTGAACATTCATGTGTGCTGTGCACTCCACACACCCTCACTCTGTGCAAGGCCCAGAAACTGCCCGAGACATGCTAGCTCAGCCTCAAGCCTAAGCTGTGATATTTTATGCATTGCGTTGTTTTTACAGAACATACAAGTTGTTCTGCATCTACAGAAACACAATCACTTAAATAGGAAAACAAAGAATTTCAAGTATTTCCCTCCTGTCATTCCTCAGCATACATTAAAGTGGTATCTGTGTTCTGTTTCTGCTCTGTGTTGTGCTCTAAGAAATTGCTGTCTGAAGCAAAGGAAACTCGAGCAGAGGAGGACAGAGAATAGGAGAGAATGTTTGCTAGCCATGCTTTAGACACGGGGTTATAGAGTAGAAAGCACTAGTCTGGGGAGATGGCTCGGTGAGTAAAAGCATTTGCCACCCAAGACGGTCAGCTTGAGTCTGGATCCCACATGGAAGCTACCTCTAATCCCAGTGCGTCCCTGCAGGAGACAAGGGAATCTTGGCCAGCCTGGGCTACTCAGTGGCGAAGGGACTCTGTCTAAAACAAGACAAAAAGGCAAAGAACCAACACCCAAAGGTTGTCCTCTGACCTCCACACATAGGTGAGCTTACACACACACACACACACACACACACACACACACACAAACTGTGAATCAGTAAATAGGCTAATGAAATATTTCTTTAAAGCAGAAACAAAAGTGGTCAGTGTAATGGAAGTTTTGTCTTATGTTATGTAAACATGTTTTTGTTTTAAGCCCAAGTGTGGGATTCTAGTCTGGACTTTAGTTCATCCATGGCTGATAATTTCCTCCTGTGGGGTGTGGCCTTTGCCAGCTGGTAATGGCCTGCTTGCCTCAAGAGCAGGGCGTGATCTTGGATTTTGAGGAAGATAAATAGGAGTGCCTGGAGAAACTGTGGTGTGTAGCAGCATGAGGAGACGGATGGTGTAGCAGTTTAGAGAGACTCTGGAGAAACGCTTTCTGGCTCAGTGGCCTGGAGGAGCCTGCTAGCTGCATTTGCTGTTGGTGGAGAATGGTAGAGAGCCCCAAAAGAACCCACCGACCCTAAACAGCTGGGAGAAGTAAAGGGGTCTTCGTCCCCTCTCCCCACTACCCTTCTCTCTCTTATCTAAGGTTAAAGGGTTGGTGGAAGGGAGGTCGAGGCACAAATACACCAAATAAAATAAAGTTTAAAAACAAGTGCAACAGGCCAATGTTTTTTAAACTGTCTGATATCATTAACCATCATGGAAACATGTTAAAACTACTTCAAGATTCCATTACAACCCAGTCAGAATGGCAATCACCAGGAAAACCAGTGACAATAAATTCTTCTGAGGATGTGTGAAAAGAGAAGTATGTTCACAGCTAGTAGAAGTGTAAACTGGTGAAGCCAGTTTGGTAATCGGTTTTCCAAGAAATTAAAACAGAACTGATGGCCCAGCCATACCCGTCCAGAACACACACTGAAGGCATCCATGTTGGCTGCTGCTCTGCTCACAACAGCACGGAAATGGAATCAGCCTACAGGTCCACCAGGAGACAAGTGGAAAACGAAGACGTGGCCCACCTACACAGTGAACTTTTCTTCCAATATGAAACAAAATGGAGTTTACAAGAAAATGCTATATTAAGCAAGGCAACCCAGGTTCAAAAAGACAAATATTGTGTGTGATCTTAGCTTTCTAGTTTTCAGTGTGTGTGTGTGTGTGTGTGTGTGTGTGTGTGTGTGTGTGTACACATGTTGGGGGGAGCGGTGTTTGTCATACGTTGTGTATATAAATGTCATTGGGGGGTTGGTTGCAGTTCGTTAGTAGTCATGCTCAAGGAAGAAACAAGAAGAAAGAAATTAGATTCAGGGATATCTCTCTCTCTCTCTCTCTCTCTGTGTGTGTGTGTGTGTGTGTGTGTGTGTGTGTGTGTGTGTGTGTCTCCTATATCCTTTTTCTCATATCTAGTGATAGGGCGTGAAACCTGGGGGTAAAGGGTGAGAAAAAAGAACCCACAAAATAGTAAAGACGAGCTACAAGCAAAGAAAAAAACCAAAAAGAGTTAAGATTCAAGGATCTCTCCCTCTCTCCTAACCTTTGTCTCCTAGGTAGTGATAGGGGTGAAACCAAG